TCCTTCAAGGCTGTTTTAAGGATTAAACTAGATAAGGGAGACTTCCTGGGCAAGACACCAACTGCCAAATGACTACCTTCCCTTTCCACCAACTTCCCACTGGAATATTCATGAACATATACACACACCAATAAATGAAAGGTTGCTGCAGTCTTGGGAACAAAATAGTACTGATCGAAATCTTCTGGGCCCTCGAGGAATTTTCACTAACCAAAGAAAGGAAGAATCCCTGATGCAGAAAAATAAGGCCAGGCACTTCTGCTACAACTTCTGACCTACAGGGGCTTAGAGACGCGAACCCTGTGTCAGCCAGAGGCAGGAAGGCTTCTCGATCATGCAAGAACTCTGTGAGGAGGTGCTCATGGCAACTTAGCCCTCCATTGCCCTAATTACCCAATGAGCACTTCCTACGCTTATGCAGGACTACAATGCCCAGTGGTGGAACATAGCAATCACATGCATTCTCTCAAGCAGGAAACCACAGAAACAGGTAAATCAAGGCAGCTACAGCTTTTTACTCTTTTTTTTTTTTTTTGCAAGAAAGGAATGAAGAGGAAACATATTGTACTAGTTAACAGCACAGACTTCAGCACCAGTTTGCTTACATTTAAATTTTGACTTAGACACTTACTAGTTGTATGATGTTGGATGAATTAGAGTGACTCATTTCTTCATCTGTCAAATGGGAATACTAAGAGTACTAATCTCAGAGGGTTACTGTGCAGATTAAATGAATGTAAAAGGCTTTGGAATAGTGCCTGGCACCCCAGTAAGTATTGCGTAATGTTTACACACATACACACACACACACACATATATATTTCTCAACATGAAGCTGAGATAGGAAATTCCTCCTGAGTCTTAAAGAGCCACACTGGCTAAACATCTTCCAAGATGCCAAAAATCTGGTTCAGAGTGGTAAATCTCACTGATATAAAAGACAGGTTCTAACAGCAATCAGAAGTGAAGTGAAGGGTCCACAAGTAAATAAAGAAGGGAAATAAAGATGAATCTACAAACACTAACATAGACAAACAGCAGAACTGAGTAAAACTTTTTCCTGGGCCGGGTACCGTGGCTCATGCCTGGAATCCTAGCACTTTGGGAGGGCGAGACAGGTGGACCACCTGAGGTCAGGAGTTCGAGACCAGCCTGGCCAACATGGTGAAACCCTGTCTCTACTAAAAATACAAAAATTAGTTGGGTGTGGTGGTGAGTGCCTGTAATCCCAGCTACTCAGGAGGCTGAGGCAGGAGAATCGCTTGAACCTGTGAGGCGGAGGTTGCAGTGAGTGGAGATCATGCCGCTGCACTCCAGCCTGGGCAACAGAGTGAGACTCTGTCTCACAAAATAATAATTAATAATAATTCCTGTCCTTACATGAGGAAATATAAGCACAGCCAAAACTTGTGCAGCAAGAAAGAAGGCTACAGAAATTGTAAGACACAGGTAGAATATGCCTATGGAGAAGATACTATAGACAACAAGGGTAATTTTTTGAAAGTGAATGTTTTATGGTCTCCATAAAGTTTCAAAAATGTAATTTTTATGTAATATAAAAGCTGAAATGATTTAAAAAAAGACAAATGAATAAATAGTTGTTTGTGGTAAGCTAGATTGTGTAGAAAACAAAGAAAATAAAGAGAGTTAAAATATGCATTAAATGTGGTCAAGGAAAAGGTCAGCTTCAACGCATGAAAATATAACCCATGTGAGAGAAAACTTGGGATGTTATAAAAGTACAGGAAAACAGCAAAGAAGATGAAAATGTTAAGAGAGATGGAAAATTCGTGAAGAGCAGTTGTTCTTTCTTTTTTTGAGACGGAGTCTCGCTCTGTCGCCCAGGCTGGAGTGCAGTGGCCGGGTCTCAGCTCACTGCAAGCTCCGCCTCCCGGGTTTACGCCATTCTCCTGCCTCAGCCTCCTGAGTAGCTGGGACCACAGGCGCCCGCCACCTCGCCCGTCTAGTTTTTTGTATTTTTTTAGTAGAGATGGGGTTTCACCATGTTAGCCAGGATGGTCTCGATCTCCTGACTTCGTGATCCGCCCGTCTCGGCCTCCTAAAGTGCTGGGATTACAGGCTTGAGCCACCGTGCCCGGCCGAAGAATAGTTGTTCTTGAAGAAGGTGTCGGACATACCAAAAAAATCAACCATCAAAGGCTTAGGAAAAGCGAGTAGTGAACAAGATAGACATGGTGCCTACATTAACAGAGCTCAGAATCTAATGTGGAGAATCCTGGGAATCAGGTAAAATCCACCAGTGTGGACAGTCTACACTGGTGAGCCTGCTCATTTTCCGCCTTCTTATGTACTGCGAGTTCTAGTGCTACATTCAACTAAATTAGTATTTCCCAAACCAACTCCCAAGGGATAATGTTTTCAATATGTTCTGGCTCTTCTGGGTAAAAGCAGTTCTTTTGTCAAATAAGTACAGGCAAGAATATATTAAATTAAACTAAAGAAGAATTCTTTACTCCAGAACGTTAATGCTAAGATGCATTATGAATTCAAAAGACAGTGATATCATGCTGCCTTTTTAAATTCAGAAAGGGTAGAGGTCAATTTTTTTCTCATACTTTTCCCCATGATGCTACCCCCTGCCTTTCTTTTTCCTCTCTTGTAACAGCTACTGACATCTCTCAGACACAGCTGAGAAATGCCACGGTAGACCCTGAGCAAGCAAATGCCAGGATCGTAATATGTCAGGCTCTCTAGATGTGTTCTTAGTGCTACACCCACAGCCTTTAGAGCAGGTTGATATACAAATTACACAGTCGCATGGGCTCTTAGTGTCTTTTGCAGAATCATGGTTGCACAGACGACTGTCAGTCTCCCAGGAGAGCGTTGAGATTTGTAGACTAGTCAGCAGTCAATCCTTTCCTGGGTCTTAAGTGTCTCAGTTTACCTTCCCTGCCACTCTGGTGCCGGAAACCACAGGACATGATAAAGCTCTGGGTCCCAGCTTCCATCAGATGGTATCCTTTAATGGGACATGGATGACTGACAATGTGGTCCTACAACATCACATCTGCCTGAGTAAGCAGCCTGCTTCCTACCAGAATCCAAGCATCATCCTAACCCGGAAATGCCCCCTGCCTGGCCGCATCCAGTGGACTAGACTCCTGGAATGTTGAAATGGATGTGTATCCCTAGCTTGCCCATCCCTAATCTAGATCCCTCCTATTTTTTTTAACTTACATGTACCATATTATTCATAAGAGACATAATAAAGGAAAGGGAGGAAGAGTCAGATGAAAAGATGCATGGGACAAGGTCTGGAAAGGACCCAAGTGCAGGAGCTTCCATCTCCATGTAGTTGGGGTGCAAGATCCTGGCACTCAGATGTGTTCACCAACCCAGAAGCTATGCCAACATTCATAGTTCGGGGATATTTGTAAAGCCTTCATCACATAGGAAATATCAATTATTATTTCCACTACCAGCCCCTCTCCCCTCTCCAGAGAATGGGGGTGTGAGGCTGAAAGCTCCACGGCTTCCCCCTTTTCCTCCCCTTCTCTCTTCCTGCGCAGTGGTCCCTTGGCTACTCCTTGAAGCTCTTGCAGAATCAAGTAACAGCTCTGATGAAAGATTTGTCAATGGAGAAATCAGACTCACCAGAGGTACAAACATGAGGCCTAAAGCCACCGCTGGGTGTCTTTATCCACACAACGCAGTGAACCCACTATTCCAAAATCGAGCAGAAAATTCTGAGACCAGACTGCCTGGGTTGGGATTCCAGCGACACCACTTACCAGCTGTGTGATTTGTGGCTATTTGTCAAACTTCTCTGCCTCAATTTTTTATTCTGCAAAATATGGCTAGTAATGATTCATGGAGGATCCTAGCTGAAGATAGTGAAACTGGTTAAGAGGTTTTTGCATTCATCCAGATAAATGCTAGTAAGGGCCTGGGCTGAGGTAGTGGCAGGGAGGATGAAGAGGGGGAGGCAGAATTTGAAAGTTATTTGGGAGGATTAATGGCACAATTTGGGGACTAATTAATCATGGAAGGTGGGGGTGCAAGAAGGGGGGGGTTTAAAGTATAGCTTCTCAATTTTTTACTAGCATAGCTGAGTGAACGTAGATGCTATTAACCGAGCCAGTTCATAAGGGAAGATTGTAATTGCTGCGCAAGTTGCAGAGAGGCTCCCTGGTAATGATTGCTTATCTCTTTTCCTTCTCATCATTACACTGTGGTTACAATTCTCACATGAGGAAGCTGTGTTTGATGCCTGACATCTGGGACCTCACTTAATCCCCACTAGAACGTCATGATGTGAATGTCTTCCTATTATTCCTATAATGTAACAGAGTCACTGAGCCTCAGAGAGGTAAAACAACTTGCCCCAGATCACACAGCAGCTAGGCTGGGATTTCAACTCAACAAGAGTGGCTTCCCCATGCTATTAGCCTTCCAGTATTCAACATGTTTCTTCAAACAGCTCTACCAGAGAGATATGACAGATTTCATCATCTGTGCAATCCTCCTGCATGAAAGGATTCAGATTCTTCTACACAATTTTTATTTGAAACCCTCCATGAATAGATTGTAGAATTTGTCCTAGCTATTGTAAAGTTGCTTTGCCATAGCGTGCACTTGTCACAGCTGCTTTACAAATCTCTGTGGGTGCATTATGCTTGCACAGTGCGGTTTCCATGTCTAATTATAATGTTGAAAGCTACTACATGCACAGGTAGGTAGGTATACAGATATTGAGAACATACAGCAATACCATTTTAACATAAAAGTGCTTGTGCTTTAGAAGAAGAATAGCAACTTTTTAACTCTTGGGTACTATTTGTTTTGCTGATAGCTGAGTGAAATTGGGGGGGTGTTAGAAAGCTGTGAATAATGTTTAATATTAATATTATAGGTTACCTGGGAAAAGGGATTTAAGTGTAAAATGATACTGCCAAAATCCAGCAAAAGGCTGAAAGTTCAAACCACTCTAAATATTGATTTGACTCAATTGTGCAATTGAAAACATTCCTATTTCCCAGGAGAAGAGTCATTCCTGAGGAAAACTGTGAAAACGGAATGTAAAAAGGAAAGAGAAGAAAAAGTCACACTGCAGCTCTACACTGAACAGTTTGCTTTCATCTTTTGGGAAATTTATTTCCATCTCCCAAAAAAGAGAGCTGCAAATAATGATTCTCCTGATGTAACCATCCCAGTTGGATCATGTTAAAAAGCTTTTAGGAGGAAAGCAGTAAGTAAATTCAACTGTTCAGATGCATTTGGATGTAATCCTAAAGCGGTAGCCCGGGTAATCGCCAAGTCATCAACAACTAAAAGGATTGTGACTATAAGATGCGGCCAACAGAGAAATAATGGATGTTAAAGAGGTCGGGAAACAGAAATGATTGCATTCAACCGCCACATAGCTTTAAAGCTGCTGACAGGAGAATGGACGCTCCATTTTACAACTACTGAAATACACACACACACACACACACACACACACAGAGAAATGCCAGCTACTGAAATACACACACACACACACACACACACACACACACAGAGAGAGAGAGAGAGAGAGAGAGAAATGCCAGCATCAGTTTTATTATGTAGGTGGTTAAACAGTCACTCTCTTTTCCAATGTTTTGAAATAGACAAGGACTTTGATCTTTGACTAATTTCAGAGTTAAAGTGGAGGGATAGCTTGCTTTCTTCTCTGTCAACATTCAGTCTGGGAGGGTTTGATGCTGGGGTGTGAAAGGTTTCAGAACCCTGGAGGCAGGATGCTGGAACATAAGGCAGGCGGGGGACACAGAATGTCTATCTGTGATCTTAAAGGATTTTTGAATAACAGCCAGTTCTGCTTCTTCAGCCAAGCTTTTGCTGCTTGCCAGGAACAATTATGCTTCAGTAGATCAGTGATTCTTCCAGTGTGGTCCATAAGGTCTGCTACCTACATCATAATGACCTGCATTATAATGCAGACTCCCAGGCCCAGACCCACTGAAGCAGACTCTCTCAAGATTGGGCAAGGATTCGTAAGCCATTGTCCATGGAGAACGACCATGATGCTTAATGTGATCAGAGATCATGCTTTGACTGGGACAGTCTTAAATTGCAGACTTGTTAAAGTATTATGATAGAAACTCTTGGGTGCTATTGGCTGAGTCCAATATTGCAGTCCATGGGCCCAATGTGGCCGTCATTTGTTTTTGTGAATAAGGTTTTATTGAAACACAACCACGCTCATTTATTTTTTTCTATGTCTCGACAGCCAAGTTGAATAGTTGCCACAGAGACTTCATGGCCTGCAAAATCTAAAATATTTACTATCTGGCCTTTCACAGAAAAAGTTTCCTTCCTTCTGATGTAGACCAATGGCTCCCATTGTTTCAGTGCATCAGAATCACCTACAGGCTTTGGGGGTTTTCTTTCGTTGGTTTTTTTTTGTTTTGTTTTGTTTTTGTTTTGTTTTTTTTGAGACGGAGTCTCGCTTTGTCGCCCAGGCTGGAGTGCAGTGGCCGGATCTCAGCTCACTGCAAGCTCCGCCTCCCGGGTTCACGCCATTCTCCTGCCTCAGCCTCCCGAGTAGCTGGGACTACAGGCGCTCGCCACCTCGCCCGGCTAGTTTTTTGTATTTTTAGTAGAGACAGGGTTTCACCATATTAGCCAGGATGGTCTCGATCTCCTGACCTCGTGATCCGCCCGTCTCGGCCTCCCAAAGTGCTGGGATTACAGGCTTGAGCCACTGCGCCCGGCCTCGTTGGTTTGTTTTTTAATGTTACTTCTGCAGACCCATTCCCTGAGATTCTGAATCGACTGGCCTAGAGTAGGGCTGGAATAAAGGAATCTTTTAAAATGATGTTTATGTAATTCTATTTTGAAAATTTATTATTTTTTATTATTATTATTTTTAAAGACATAGCCTCAGTCTGTTGCCCAAGCTGGAGTGCAGGGCATGATCGTAGCTCACTGCAGCCTTGACTCCTGGGCTCAATCGATCCTCCCAGCTCAGCCTCCGGAGCAGCTGGAACCACAGGCATGCACCACCACACTTGGCTGATTTTTTAAAAATGCTTTTATAGAGACGAGGTCTCACTGTGTTGCCCAGACTGCTCTAAAACCCCTGTCTCAAGTGATCCTCCCACCTCGGCCTCCCAAAATAGTGGGATTATAGGCATGAATCACCCTGCCTAGCCTGTTTCGGTGCTTCCAGCATGTAGCCAGGATGAAGACCACAGCTGTGAAGGAGAAGCACTAGCTTCATAAGCTCACCTCCCCTGAGCTGCGTGTGCTCAGTGTACTTGGGCAGCCTAGGTAGTTTGCATCTCAGCTGCTTATCTTTAAAACAGAGACACCAATAGTGACCATGTTGGGTGAGGTAATATGAAAATTAGGGACAGTGTATGTATACCTCTTAAGGCAGTGCTTAGCATACAGTAAGTATAAATAAATGGTGATGATGATGAAGATGACAGTGACAACTATGTTAAGGGTAATACTTATGACTTCCATAACGCAACTGAACAAACATTGATTAAGCACCAGCTGTGTGTCCTGGAAGTGGGAACCTGAGGTAAATGTGATGAACACCCCACGAGTGTTCACAGTCAAGTAAGACAAACAGAGACACAGAAAGATACTGACAGCAGGCCAAACGCGGTGGCTCACGCCTGTAATCCCTGCACTTTGGGAGGCAGAGGCGGGTGGATCACCTGAGGTCAAGGGTTCGAGACCAGCCTGGCCAATGTGATGAAACCCCATCTCTACTAAAAATACAAAAAATTGGCTGGGCGTGTTGGCATGCACCTGTAATCCCAGCTACTCAGGAGGCTGAGGCAGGAGAATTGCTTGAACACAGGAAGCAGAGGTTGCAGTGAGCAGAGATCACGCCACTGCACTCCAGCCTGGGCAACAAGAGACAAGAGTAAAACTCCGTCTCGAAAAAGAAAAAGAAAGATACTGACAGCAATAGGAAAGAAAAATGAGCCTCCAAATATGGACAGACAAGTCAAAGAGGGAGAGAATCTAATTTCCGGTAAATAGACACAAACATGTTCAACTTCAGTAATAATCAGAGAAATAAAAACTAAAACTTCAATGAGACATTTTCTCCCAGTAAATATGCAGACTGTAAAAACACTGGAAACATTCTGCTTTCATGGAAGTGTTGTTTCTGCAGGCTTTTTACAGGGCAAATTGGTAGATTAAAATCTGTACTCTTCAGATCCTCTATTTCCCATTTAGGTATCTAGTCTACAGAAATATATCTGCACTAAGAGACCAGTATAAGAACATTCACCGAGACGTTGTTGCAATGATAAAAACCATCTAAATATCCATAAGATGGAGAATGGCTAACTAAATCACCATGCAATTCTATATAATTCAATGCTGAAGTTTTTTGAAATGGAGAATATATATAGGTATAAAATGTCCATGAGTTGAATTGAACTCATGGACATAGAGAGTAGAAGCATGGTTACCAGGGGATGGGAAGGGTAGTGGAAGGGTGTGGGGAGCTGGAGATGGTTAATGAGTACAAAAAGATGGAAAGAATGAATAAGACCTACTATTTTATAGAATGACAGGGTGACTCTAGTCAATAACGACATAGTTGTATGTTTCAAAATAACTAAAGTAGTGTAATTGGATTGTTTGTAACACAAAGGATAAATGATTGAGGGAATGGATACCCCACTCTGCATGATGTGGTTATTACACATTGCATGCTGGTATCAAAACATCTCGTGCACACCATAAATATATACACCTACTATGCACCCACAACAAATAAAAATAAAATAAAATGGACAGCTGTCCTAAGTATTTCATGGAGAAGTTGCAAATCTTAATAGAAAATGTAACAACACATAGATAAAAAAGCACACATACACACACTCAAAATAAAACTTTGCATTTTTATTTCTATATATGTAAATAAATTCCCAGGCAAGATCACTTCTGGCAGGAAAAGATCGATTTAGAGTGTAATGGACATCTTCACTTTACCTATGCTTAATAATATGAATGTATTCATGTACTTCTTATATACATTTTTTAAAAGAAAATAAACAGGACAGTAATTTAATAGGGTGTGCATTGTTATAGAAGTGTATGTAAAATATGATGGCAGTACCCAAAAGAAGGTGCAGAATTCTGCTGTGGTGAGATGGACAAAAAGCGATGTCAAATGGAGATAAGGTAAAAGGTGTTGCCTTATCTCTGATGTCACCAAGATCAGGCAATGCTGAGCTAGACCTTGAAGGAAGAACCATTGGAGAAGTGGATGCTGTCATCCTAGGTAGAGAGGGACCATGAGCAGAGGCTCAAGGGCGTGGGCATGCAGGCATTCATTCACTCAACATTTGGGAAATGCCTACTCTGAGTTCAGGACCCTTCTATGCGCTTGCAGTACAGACGTGACGGCTATAGGCTCAGGTGCCCTTGTGATTTTATTCTAGTCTGTCTAGATAGACAGTATACAAATCAGCAAGTAAAATGCACAGTGTGATGACAAGTGTTATTGGGGACAATAATGCAGGGAAGGTGGAAAGAATATGCTGCTTGGGAATAGGGTTCTCCTTCTTTAGTTGAGTCATAGAACGCATCATGAGTGGAGAGCTGAAGGAGCTGAGAACTCACCACAGGGACAATTGGGGAAGAGCATTCCAGGCACTGGGATGGCAGATCCAGAGGCTGTGCTTCACTTAGCTGAGGGACAGTGAGGAGGACCATGTGGATGGAGCAGAGGAAGCCAGAGGAGAGTAGCAGGAGAGGGGTTAGAGAGTGAGTGGGGCTGGGACACATCCATATCATGTAAGGCTTTGGGAAATACACGAAGGACTTTGACTCTTCTGAGAGATAGGGAGAGTCATTGGAGGCTTTTGACCAGGGAAGTGGCCTGATCTGTTATATGCTTAGAAAGATCCCTCTGGCTACTCTGCTGAGAAAAGACCCTAGAGGCAAGACTGGAAGCACTGGGGCAATTGAACATGTGGGAGGCAGGCCACCAGATCTGAGAAAACAGCATGTCAGTATCATGTGGACCACTCTTGTGCCCCTTCTTCAAGTAGCAGCACCCTAATTCCCTTTGATAGATCCATCTAGCACGTTTGCAGGGGCCAGGGTAATGGCGCCAATGAAAGGCGATATACCACATACCTAGGTATCTGAAAATTATAAAGCAATCCAACAAACTGCTCAGTGAAACATATACTCTCCTCCTATGTTCATAATGGCCTGGAAGGTCAAGTTTAGATTTAGAATCGTCTATTTCTCAGATTTATTTGCCAAAATTGGCAGCATGGGAAGACCTGGCTCCTAACTTATGGTTCTTAAATCCCAACCCTCTGTCTGCCCCCACTTCTCTTCCTACTCCCAGTTCTGTCTCTTACTCTGAGTGGTTTTTTCCACGTGTGTGAGTACAACACAACACTCACAGTGAAGATCAGTGGACAATAAATAGGCTTTATATTCCTTAAACATTAGCACACAGCCTCTCCGTAGGAGAAGAGGTCCAAGAAAGAGGCAACTTGAGTAGAGAAGTCTGGAGTCTATGCAAGCAACATGAAGGTCCAGAGGAAGGGTTCAGATCCTGGAAGGTATGTACCCTTGGCCTGTGGCCTCCTTATCTCGTGGAAAGGCACGTGGCAGCTGAAGGACTAGAGTGGAGACCTCTTGAGGTATATGGCGCGAGACAAGAATGCTCTGTGCATGGGCTTAAGAATGTCACTGTTCTTCCTACTCAAGTGGGCCGAGCTTAGAACATTGCCTTTTACCCAAGGGAAGTGAGATACCTTGATTGGTACCCACACCAAGAAGTCACACAACGGGAGGGTTTCTATTAATTTAAGTCATGGAGGGATTGAAGGAAAAGTCTTGGAGCTGGTTCATGTTGGTCACCAGGTCTTAAAGACATTGTCTCTTCATTCCTATTTCCTGGATTTCCATCCAGTTATCCAGTTCCAGTTCTTTCTCAGGACCTCTTTGTTCAGTTTCTCCTTACATTCTATGAGCTCTTCCCAATGCTTTCTTTTTAAGGCTTTCCTTTTGTTCTAGATAGTTTCTGTGTCTGCAGCCAAGAAACCCTACAACACACAGATTATGTTACAAAGCATTTTGTATGCCACTTTTGAGCACCTGAACTTTAGTCTGCAGAAAACTGGAAGCTTTTAAACAGGGGAGTGACCTGGCTTGATTAATATATCTGGAGAGACAAGAAAGATGGAATGCATAGGAAAAAAGTACACCTAATTTTCCTTTCTCTCTCGGAACTTCAATCAGTGGCTTAAATGGAGGCATCTATGATAAGGTAAAGTTGAACTTCAAGAAAGAAAAAACAAAAATCCAGGGCAGGTGGGTGAGAAAAACACCAGGAGATCTGATACAGACAAATGAGCTCAATTTCAGGCAAGACTAACCATCAAGGCT